AGTATATTCAGGGTGTTAACATGTTAATGTGGGATTGGCCCCCTATCCCACTTTGTGAAAGCTAGCGTGGACCTTCTCCCCTCGCTAGCTACACCCACTTGACCGTGTCCTTCACTATGTTTTGTGTATGGGAAAACTACAAGTCCCAACAGCCTTTGGAGCTGTTGGTTTATAGCTCTCAATGAACTACCATGGCGCTGTTGAGTTGTAGTTAATTGATTCTTCCTGTCAGTGTAAAACTGCCTGCTCGTATGAGGTAAGAGCAGGCAGATTACACTGACAGTCTGCAGGAGACCTGCATGGCACCAGCTATCTGCTGATTGCTGGTGAAATGCTTTACAGACTCCTAAAACAAAAAAAATTGTAAATACAAATTTTGTACCTGCAAAAAAAAAATGTGCATTTACTATTTTTTTGTTAAAAGCTGAACTTATTCTTTAAGTCTACATTGGTCCTGATAACATACTGTGGCCTTTCTCAACCTTTAACTCTGAAGGAACCCATGAAATAATTTTCAGGACTTGATAAGCATCTGCTAAAAATTATGTTTACAGCTTATGGTACATTAGCGCAAAATCATTCTGTTGTAGGAAGTTTGAAATAAAAGGATTAACGTTTCGCACCACATCATTTAAAGCACCACCTACTTTAGACAACAAAATTATTTTAAGTAATAATCTTGAAATTAGAAGAATAATAATAAAAAAGAAGCACAGTAATGATGGTCTACACGTTCGAGTCAAACTTTTGTTTGACTCGAACATGAGCTGTTTGTGTGTTCTGTTCACCTGCCGCGCCCCACAATGCAATAATAATAAAAAGCACTGACACTGTATTGGTGTCACTGGAGATGTCAGTGGCAGTTAGTCAGTTCCAACCCAGTGTCAGAATGCCCGCCGCAGTCCCGCTATAAGTCGCTGACCGCTGCCACTACTAGTATAAAAAAAAAAAAAAAATTCCAGTATATATATCGCCATTTGTAGATGCTATAACTTTCACGTAAACTAATTAATTTACACGTATTGGGATTTTTTTTTTAGCAAAGACATTTGGCACAATACATTTTGGCCTATACTTATGATGAAAATTGATTTTTTAAATTTTTTTATTGGATATGTTTTACATCAAAAAGTCAAAAATATAGTTCTCTAGATAGTCAGTCTTTTTTTGTTTATAGTGCAAAAAATAAAAAACGCACAGGTGATCAAATGCCACTGAAAGAAAGCTCCATTTGTGGGAAAACAAGGGTATACATTTCATTTGGGTGCAGCTTTGCATGACCGCGCAATTGAATGAATGTCATTTCTGAACGATAACCACATACACTGGCCGAAAATTCATTTGATCGAGAAAAGTATTCCTTCGTGTCCCTTTGAATTTTACCAGCACTGCTGTCGAAACACGAACAGCGATTTGACCCCCACTAACGATTAGAAAATCAAACGAATATTCTTGAAACAAAAAATTCTGGAATGAAAATCTATATGTGCATGGACAGCGTTAGTCATCAGCCACACCACTACGGTTTGAAATTGCACGATTTGTGTCCAATTTGAGTGCAATTTCGTGTGCGATTTCTGAAGACTTTATTGTGGCTTGTAAAGATTTTAATGATTTCTTGCAATTTGCAGTGCGATTTCCATTATATTCTATGTATGTGAACTTGCAACAAAATTGAAGAAAAAGTCATGCAAGAGCCACTTTAGAAATCACGCTGCAGTAAATTGCAAATGTTAAGGCATTGATATTCACCTTCATTAGATGCGATTTCACAAGCGGTTTCAGTTCCCAAATGGCATCTATGCTATAAAATGTGTTACAGATTAATTGCTAGCAGTAGTATTTGATCAGTAAACAGATGAAACAAATGCTTTCCAAGCTGGTTGCATGTTCTACAAACATTCCACTTTAGTGAATGGAACAAGTTCACCTTCTCAGGACACTGTCCTGGCATTGGCTTCTTTCAGGGGAAACAACAGCAATCAGATAAGGTGTTCCAAACTATCCAGTTGCTTAAAGCATATGTTAGCCCCCGGTCACACTGGATGCGATTAAAAGTGTGTTTTGTTTGCCGCGTTTTCTGAAGATTTCCCAATGATTTCTTGTGTTTTCCATTGCATTTTGTAGTCAATTTCTGTTGTAGTCTATATATGTGAAATCGCAAAAAAACTGCAGAAAAAGTAATACAAGAACTACTTTTGAAATCACGCTGCAGCAAATCGCGTATGTTAACACACTCACATTCATTAGATCCGATTTCAGGTACGATTTCAATTCCCAAATCGCACCTGAAATAACGGCAGTGTGACCGGGGCTAAGGCTTGGTTCACACTCTTTTTTTTTTTTGCTATTTCACAGCGTTTTCTAAAGATTTTTTTGCAACTTGTGAAGATTTCCCAAGGATTTCTTGCGTTTTCCATTGTGTTTTCTGGTGATTTCTTGCAATTTGCATGTCCTGCTACTTGTCAGAGGGGACATCAGAGGGGATGTGGGGTGGGGCTGTACTAGTCACAGGGAGAAACAATGTGATGGTCAGGCTTGAATAGACAGGAAAAAACTAGGAAAGGGTTAATAAAAATGATCACAAATCGCACATATTTAGACACACTTGCGTTTTGCAGTGCGATTTCTATTGTAGTCTATGTATGTGAAATCGCAACAAACTGCAGAAAATGTAATACAAGAAATTGCGCTGCAGCAAATTGTGTATGTTAAGAGACTCACATTCACATTCATTAGATCCAACTTCCCCCACATGGGTAAAATCTGAAAAAAAAAATTAAAAATATATATTTTTAAAACTATATTTTTTAAAATATATTCTTCAGATTTTTTTTTAACATATAAAAAAAGTAATTTTAACATATATTTTTACATATGTTTGTAAATGCATTCCAAAAATGTAGATTTGTATTTTTAAAGACATGCAATATATTTGAAATGTATTTTTAAAATTATCTTTCATATATTTTGTAATAAAATTTATTTCAACATGGAGTATACATACATATATATATATATATATATATATATATATATGAATAAAAGTGCAGCGCTAATTAATAAATCTAAAATTGTCCACTGTAAGTCCAGTTCATATAAACGTGCCAGGTGACAAATGGAAATCCACAATGGTGATCCGTGAGGAAGTAGCAGAAATGCGCACTCACCAGAAGGTGGATATATATATATAAGCAGTATATATCAAAAGCTCATGGATCCTCGGTCAAGAAGAGATAGATCTAGTCATTTGTGGGTTGGCCTTTCCTTTCTTCAAGGGTGCAGATCAAAATTCTTCCTCCTCTCAGTTGGGTGCTTGAATTCCTAATAAGGACTCTGCAAAGAGGTACTCCTCCAAGGGAGTCAGGAAAGGGCGCCCATAGTGTAGTATGTTTAAAACAGCTTTATTAAAGACAGTGATGCCAGATTCAAACAGCAAGTGTCATCCAGATGCTATGATAAAACTAACCCTAATAGTTAGAATGATGGCCGCCGGGCCTCCACGTGGCTCCGGCGGCATAGCGTATCGACGTCCAGGCTCCTCCTAAAATATATATATATATATTTATTTATTGAAATATATTTTGAAATATATTGAATATGGTCAAAATTGTAGCATTTCAAACATATTTTTCTTCCATATAGGCAGGTACGATTTAAATTCCCAAATCGCACCTGAATTTGCGGCAGTGTGAGCCAGGGCTTAACCCCAAAAACAAAAAGGTCACATATTGCAGATTCCAGTCCTTAGATGTCGTGGCTGCATTAGTCACCGGTCACCGCGCGATTTGTTTGCAATTTCAGGTGCGATTTCTGAAGACTTTATTGCTACTTGTGAAGATTTTCAACGATTTCTTGCAATTTGCAGTGCGATTTCCATTATATTCTATGTATGTGAAATTGCAACAAAACTGCAGAAAAAGCACTGCAAGAACTACTTTAGAAATCACGCTGCAGCAAATCGCACATGCTAAGACACCGACATTCACATTCATTAGATGTGATTTCAGGTGTGATTTCAATTCGCAAATCACACCTGAAATTGCACTGATGTGACTGGGAACTTAGTTTTTTTTAGCCCGGGTTCACACTTCTGCAATGCTGCATATCGCATGTGATTCGCACAGGAACCACACTGCATTCCTGTACAAATCACATGCGAATTCTGTGTATGGCTCAAATCCCACCGCACCCACACCAAAAAGATGCAGGACCCTTTTTTGGTCCGCACTAGAATCGGATCGCATTAGTATTAACACCTATGCAATCCGATTCTGCACATCGCACTGCGTTTTGCTAACCGATTTCGGGGTGTTGTTAATTTAACATACACACCTGCAGCGGTCCACATGAACTGGGTGCGATTGTGATGCGGTGCAGAATTCGCACAGAAAGCGGAGCAAATTCCGCACCGCATCCGTGTGAATCCAGGCTCAATATGTAGTAAACTTTTTGCAAGTACAGAAACATGTCTGTTAATCCTTTTAGAAATCCAGTGGCTTTGAACTGAACTTCCACACAGTGTTCTCAGCTTTCTCAGTTATCTGTGTGTTGTCCCTTTAACCACTCGCCTACAAGGCACTTATACCCCCTTCCTGCCCAGGCCAATTTCCAGCTTTCAGCGCTGTTGCACTTTGAATGACAATTGCGCGGTCATGCAACACTGTACCCATATGAAATTTTTAGCATTTGTTTGTGACAGATAGAGCTTTATTTTGGTGGTATTTAATCAACTCTGGGTTTTTATTTTTTCTTAAACAAACCAAAAATCACTGAAAATTTGAAAAAAAAAAGTTTTTTCTTAGTTTTTGTTATAAAATTTTGTAAATAAGTGATTTTTCTCCTTCACTGATGTGCGATAATGAGGCTGCACTGATGGGCACTGATAGGCTGCACTGATGGACACTGATAGGTGGCACTGATGGGCACTGATGAGGAGGCACTGGTAGGTGGCACTGATGGGCATTGACAGGCAACACTGATGGGCACTGAAAGGCAGCACTCATATATGGCACTGATAGGCGGCACTGATAGGTGGCACTGATAGGCGGCACTGACTGACACTGATAGGCTGCACTGACTGGCACTGTTAGGTGGCACTGACTGGCACTGTTAGGCGGCACTGATAGGCAGCAATGACGGGCACTGATAGGCGGCACTGATACACACTGATAGGCGACACTGGCTGGCACTGATAGGCGGCACTGCCTGGCACTGATAGGTGGCACTGATTGGCAGCACTGATAGGTGGCACTGACTGGCATTGATAGGTGGCACTGACTGGCACTGATGGGTGACACTGAAAGGCAGCTCAGATGGGCACTGATATGTGGCATTGATGTGGCACTGATGGACACTGAAATGTGACACTGATGTGGCACTGGCAGGTGGCATGGATGAGCACTGAGAGCTGGCACTGATGGACACTGACAGGTGGCGCTGCTGGGGCTACACAGATCATCAGGGCACACTGAGCATTAGTGCTGTGTACATGTCCCTTCCGAGGAATGCCGATTACAGTCTTTCCTCTCCTCTGTCAGCTTGGCAGCTCGTGGGGAGAGAAATGGTGATAACTAGCATTTCCCTGTTTACATGTGATCAGCAGTGATTGGACACAGCTGATCACATGACCGAGCCGACATCTTTGGCTCTTTCCGTGATCAGTGATCCTCTGTGTCCGAGGGACACAGCGCACCGCCAATCGCCACGCTGCGCGCTCCCGGAGCCATGCATGCGCGGTTAGAATGGGAGGATGTCATATGACGTCCTCCCAGAACGAGTAAACCACCTTGCGTCCATCATATTACTATATGGCAGGCTGGAGTCGGTTACATAATATATGCACTTGTTTGAGAAATGAATAAACCACTTCCCTGCCACCCTATAGCACAAATACTGCTACACAGGGCGGCAGGGGTGCGCAGAGCCATACAAAGCAGTGTGCTTACAATGTAAAGCACACACACACAGCACACAGTAAAACAGCACACAGTTAACCCTTTGATCGCCCCAGATGTTAACCCCTGCCTGCCCAGTGCCATTAGTACAGTGTCAGTGCTTTTTATTAGCACTGATCACTGTATTAGTGTCACTGGGGATGTCAGTGACAGTTATTTAGTTCCTACCCAGTGTCAGAATGCCGCTATAAGTCGCTGCCATTACTAATATAATAAAACTAAAATTCCAGTTTATATACCGCCATTTGTAAACACTATAACTTTCACGTAAACCAATTAATTTACAGGTATTGGGATTATTTTTTTTAAATAAATGCATGTCTCAGAATACATTTTGTACTACATTTATGACAAAATTTGATTTTTTAAAATTTGTTTACTGGATATGTTGTATAGCAAAATGTCAAAAAATATAGTTTCTTCTTTCAAAATTGTCATTTTTTGTGTTTATAGCCCAAAAAAAAAAAAAAAAATGCACAGGCAATCAAATATCACCAAAAGAAAGCTCTATTTGTGGGGAAAAGGATGTAAATTTCATTTGAGTGCAGCATTGCATGATCGTGCAATTGTCAGTTAAAGTAACGCAGCGCCGTATCGCAAAAAATGGCCTGGTCAGGAAGGGGGGGGGGGGGGGGAATCCTCTGGAGGGCAGGGGCTTTAATGTATAAATCAATAGCACCAATATAAACATCAAAATAAATAAACAAATAAATGAAAAAGTGCCAAAATTGATCATGAGAAAACTTCTAGGTGCTGGAAAAATGTCATATAAAGTGCTCCTTAGAAAAAGGCAGGCCCCTTACCAAAAGGAAATTATCTCAAGCTATAGAGATAACAAAAATCATTTACATCCAAATTCCAGGCTGGTACTCTCACTGTTAGACCCTTGGAAGGATAAGTACACTCAACAAATGAGTATATGGTCCGATCAGGAATCGGCTCTAGCCTGTCATGTTGCTCACCACGATCATATGTGCAGGTTTAAACAAGGAGAAGCCTCATAGTGCAGTATGGTTAAAACCGATCATTTATTAAAATTCATATTGCACTTACATTCAGTTAAATGGAATAAAGTAGCATACAAAGAAAAGAGTCCAACTGTGGTGTCAGCCTGTGCACTGCGCATTGGTGCACGATGACGTCACACAGAGACTTCACCCAACACATTTCCCCAAAGCTAGTGTCCTCTGGGATTGCAGTACATTGGCAGTTCATTTATAATGCATGTGAATGCCTTAGCTCAAAACATATTAACACAATGCAGTTGTGTGAATCTAGCAAGTATACATCCACAGTCTGTGCAGTGTAATGGAATATTAGAGCTACATCATGATTAATTCATTCCCTATGGGTTACTAGAGACATAAAAGGTAAGTATCCCCTGAGCCCCCGTTCACACCAGCTGCGGTTTCTAAAGCTAGCAAAATCCTCTCTTGTATTAAAAGAGGTATAGACTCCAGAGAGAGAGATATCATTTCCCCGGTACAAATCATTAGTAAAACCTCATCTGGAATATGCAGTTCAGTTTTGGGCACCAATTCACAAGAAGAACATTGGGGAACTGGAGAAAGTACAGAGAAGGGCAACCAAACTGATAAGAGGCATGGAGGAGCTCAGCTATGAGGAAAGATTAGAGGAACTGAATTTATTCTCTCTTGAGAAGAGGAGATTAAGGGGGATATGATCTCCATGTATAATACATAAGGGGGATATGATCTCCATGTATAATACATAAGGGGGGATATGATCTCCATGTATAATACATAAGGGGGAATATGATCACCATGTATAATACATAAGGGGGGATATAATCTCCATGTATAATACATAAGGGGGGATATGATCTCCATGTATAATACATAAGGGGGGGGATATGATCAACATGTATAATACATAAGGGGGGATATGATCTCCATGTATAATACATAAGGGGGGGATATGATCACCATGTATAATACATAAGGGGGATATGATCTCCATGTATAATACATAAGGGGGGATATGATCTCCATGTATAATACATAAGGGGGGATATGATCTCCATGTATAATACATAAGGGGGATATGATCTCCATGTATAATACATAAGGGGGGATATGATCTCCATGTATAATACATAAGGGGGGATATGATCTCCATGTATAATACATAAGGGGGGGATATGATCTCCATGTATAATACATAAGGGGGGATATGATCTCCATGTATAATACATAAGGGGGATATGATGTCCATGTATAATACATAAGGGGGGATATGATCTCCATGTATAATACATAAGGGGGGATATGATCTCCATGTATAATACATAAGGGGGGATATGATCTCCATGTATAATACATAAGGGGGGGATATGATCTCCATGTATAATACATAAGGGGGGATATGATCTCCATGTATAATACATAAGGGGGGGATATGATCTCTATGTATAATACATAAGGGGGGATATGATCTCCATGTATAATACATAAACGGGGATATGATCACCATGTATAATACATAAGGGGGGATATGATCATCATGTATAATACATAAGGGGGGGATACGATCACCATGTATAATACATAAGGGGGGATATGATCTCCATGTATATATATACTCCATGTATAATACATAAGGGGGGATATGATCTCCATGTATAATACATAAGGGGGGATATGATCTCCATGTATAATACATAAGGGGGGATATGATCTCCATGTATAATACATAAGGGGGATATGATCACCATGTATAATACATAAGGGGGGCATATGATCTCCATGTATAATACATAAGGGGGGATATGATCTCCATGTATAATACATCAGTGGTTCATATAGTGAACTCGGTGTAGAGTTATTCACCCTGAGGTCATCACAGAGGACAAGGGGGCACTCTTTACGTTTGGAGAAAAATAAATTTAATCTCCAAACACGGAAAGGTTTCTTCACTGTAAGAGCTGTGAAAATGTGGAATAGACTCCCTCAAGAGTTGGTTCTGGGCAGCTCAGTGGATTGCTTTAAAAAAGTCCTGGATTCTTTCTTAGATACACAGAATATAACTGGATATAACATTTTTAGGTAAAGTTGATCCAGGGAATATCCGATTGCCTCTCGGGGGATCAGGAAGGGATTTTTTCCCCTGCAGGAGCAAATTGGAGCATGCTTTGCTGGGTTTTTGCCTTCCTCTGGATCAACTGTGGGTTTTTTTTTTTTACTGATTGAACTGGATGTTCTTTTGTCTTTTTTTTAGCCAGACTAACTATGTAACCAAATCGATTTGTCATGCAATTTGACAATCGAAAAAAATCGAATGACAAGTCGCACACTATTTGTGCCTATGGAACAGTTCAAATTGGTGCGACTCCTACTTGCACTGATTTTGAAAAAGGTTCCTGCGCTATTTTTGGCAATTTCATGTGCAACTTGCATTGACATCTGTGCATGAAGTTATACAGATGTTGGCAAGCTGCACATGAAATCGCACTGAATTGCGGGTCTGAAATCGCACTGCTTCAGCTGAAATAGCGCAATTTCAAAGCCGCATTCGGTGTGTGAACCAGGGCTAAATAGACATTTTAGGCCCAGAACAAAAATGTTACATATTGCAGTTTACCAGTCTTTAGATGTGGTGGCTGCATTAATCTTTTTTAATCACTTTAGGACTTTCCCCCCCTTCCGGATTCTGAGCGTGTGCATGAGCCCCCTCTGATTAGACACAGTGGGATTGTGTCAGCAGGTCCCAGCCATGAATCATTGGGTGTCCATTCATAGCTCAGAGCGCTGTGTTGACAAGCAACACAGGGCTCTGTACAGAGGGAACAATCTCTTTGTTTCTTCTCCCTACCCTGTTTTCTATACTTTTGTCTGCAAAAATGAAAGGAGTGCGGGCCACCCAACCTGTCCTCAGCAACTGATGATGTCATCCGTTGGCAGGACACGGGCAGGCAGCTTGGACTGCTTGTAGTTTTGCCAGCAAACATTCAGATAACAGCATAGAGGAGGAGAGAGCTGGGAGGAGGAACGGGATGTGCTCTCCCTTCTCTTCCTACAGGAAACTTAACACAGTAACCCTTTCATGATCAGAGTGTACAGGGCTTTGTGTCATTTTGCAGTTGCACCCCTTGGGACTCTTTGCGGCACCCCGGTGAAAAACCCTGGTGAAGATTATGAGTAGGAATCATGACTGTTGAACTTGCAGAATCCCGAGGCTAATACTTACCTACCCCCTTTAAAACACCACCACCCCTTCAAAACCTTTCCCCCCAAATAAACACGCAACTCACTTTTTGGTGTAAAACCGGCCATAGCAGCCATTTATTTAACATAACTCAACATAAATATCTTACAATAACTCAATTGATACCTGACAGTAAATTACCACCCGGGTCCAAGGTCTCTGAAGGCACCATTACTCCCATCACCAACTTCGGCTGTATCTACTACTCAATGAAAGGCCCCCAGCCGCTACTACACCGCCTCGGGGACAATACTACTGTTACTTAACCCAGATACAGCCAAATGAACTCCCACATTACCAATATGACCTTTTATTGGGAAGGGACACCCATACCTACGATGGGCCCAACCCATAATTCCTCAACTTGTCACTCCACCACCGCCTTCAAAGAC